TGTGGCAATTGGACAATTAAAACAGACATTCGGAGGGCGGGGGAAGAAGAACGAACTGGGGAGGAGGGTAGAGAGAACGGTGCAGCAATGAAGGAATGAAAACCCAAAATCCCTGTAAATGTTCATTAAAACTAATAAAATTTAATAATAATAAAAAAAGAGGGTAAAACCTATCAAAAGAGAGATGGATAATCACTCTCCATATATATATTTAGTTTCACAAACCTAATGATCATGTGTTGCCATCAACTTGATACCAGTTGATTATTGGAGATTATAATAAAAAAATAAGCACTGAAAAAACAAGATGCTTTAGAGTAAAAAAAAATTGATAAAATTTTAAAAAAGCAAACTATACTTAAATGTAAACTGTAGGAAATTCTATAGAAAGTTCACTTGTTTCCATCAGAGAACATTCTTCTCAACTGCCTAGATTTTATTCATAAAATCAAACCACATATTATCTCTTCTCTCCATTTTATACTTTTCATGTACATGTCCTCTTTTTGGGGGATGGGATGAAGATTAGCAAATAATCAAATGATAATGTACAGGAAGCTAGTTTGAGGCCATAAAACAGCAGGTGCAACTAAATCAGAGACCAGAGTAATAACTAGAATAATAACACCAAAACAAACCTTATATTCTAAAGTTTTGTTTTTCTTTTCCAGCCGTTCTAATTCCAATTTCTGTCCTGAGATCACCTTTTCTTTTTCATTTAGCTTTCCTTGAATGTAACTTTCTCTATTTAAAACAGCACTGTCGAGTTCTTGTAACATAGCTTTAAAATTAACCGCTGAAACAAAAGCAGATAGGCAGAGTTTTACTCCAAATCCAAAATCACCAACAAAATAAAACTTTATTAGCAGATACTTTGTCAATTATCATGATGCCTGCCTGTGTGTCTGAGGAGAAGCCTATTCCCAATAGGGTTTTTATGGCTGCAATCTTAAGAAGTAGACAACTGGCCTTTTCTTTCAAAGTGCTTCTGGGTGAACAGCAAACTTTCAACATTGCAGTTTGTAGTTAACTGTTTGCAATGCCCAGAAAAGAAAGTTCAGGAAAAAAGTGTAGGATACATAAGTCGTGAGGGGCTGGAATGCAATTAGAGGTAGCTATGAAGTCATGATTAAAGACGTAAATCCACAGTTGGGGTGGATTTGAACCACCAAGCTTTGCTGTAGCATCTGTGTATAAATTGTTGGAATCACCCATAGACTTTATGGTATTACTTGATTTAACAGAACTAAGTTTGATGTTGGTTTTGGGTTATAAAAGACAGCTATTCAGCAAATCCCTATTTGAAAACCACCAGAAAACAAACCTATAAACTTGAAAGGCAATGAAAAGCTTTCTCCCTTCACTGTGAACTATGGCCTCCCTTTCTTATCCCTCATGACCCACTTATTCCCAGGCAGATTGCTGTTTCAGACTAACAAATGTCCAAATAGAGATAGCACTAGATTTGAAATTTAATCACAGTTGAAATCCCTGGTACATTATTGTTGTTAGGTGCTGTGGTACATTACTTACTAACTAAGTGTCTTTGGGCAAATTATTTCATTCTGAATATATTTATTTCCTCATTTCAAAATAAGATTTAAATACAACTCCCCCTAAAACTTTCTGTCATTAGTATTTTGTTATTACTTGACTAATGGTTTACAAAGCAAATTAATTTTGCATTCACCACTCGCACACATTTTGTTTCCTAGCATTAATGTCAATACTTACAATGTAGTCAAATTTCCCTGCTTCTTCCACAAAATTCTGATTTCCATTAATCTTCTACACCACTTTATGTATTCCCTTTTGTAATACTGTGCTGATACTCTTGTTGGATATTGCCTTTCTTTTCACCCACCTTAATTATCTATTTGCCAACTTTTACTCTGCTCTTCCTCTGTTCCCATTCCTGGTAACTGCTCAGGAATTATACTATCTGTATGAAAAACCTTCCTTAGCTTTTTAGAATAGTGGTCTTACACAGTGTTTATCTTACAGCTTTCTTAGGATGATTAGAATGCATTAGTGAAGATTATAAAAATAAGTACATCCCTAGAGTATCACCACTCACTGTTTCACATGATATTCTTACATTATTTCATTCAGCCTCATAATAACCCCTGAGGTAGGAACAATTATACCATTCTGAAGATAATGAAAAGAGAAATTAAGTAATTTTCCCAAGAACACTGTTACTATAAGGTAGTATGTCAAGTGTCTTCCAAATATAAAAAGTTGGAATTAAAAGCAAAGTAGTTATTTTTCCTAAATGCCCATCATAGTCAGAATACACACAACTTTTTCTTTTGTTTTCCTTCCTAAAAACAAAAAAGCTAGGGGTGGGGGAGGAGATTCCTTACCATTCTAATAGTGCCTTCCTTAAATAAGCCTCCTACCACGAACTAAGATTCACTGATAATGCCTTTAGTTTCTGAAGCTGAACTGACTGCAAAACAATTCTTGCCATTACCTTGTTTATTAAACTCATCAATCATTATCTTCCGTAGGTGGTGTCGTTTCTCTAAGGCTTCAATCAGCCGGGGAAGTGTCTGTTCATCGTTGACATCCAAAATTTCACAGGATGGTAATGGAGGAAAACTCTGTAACACCATCTCTTTAACCAAGGGCTCTGCGTTGAATTATAAAAAACGCATAAAGGTTACGCAGTAAAGAGCACATTTAACACTGTGATTAGCTAACAAGCATAATCTAATTAATTTTTTTTTGTTCAGATCTTTTGCATTTGGTTCTTGAGCTAAAATTGTGTTATGTGGAAAATTATTTTTAAGTTGTAGTTAGCAAATTGGTAGCATCAGGATGGATGGCGAAGAGATTGAGATTGTTCATAGCTTCAGTTTGCTCGGCTCCATAGTCAACACTCTTGGCACCAGCAGCCAGGAAATAAAAAAACGTATTGTGATGGTAAAGTCTGCTGTTAGGGACCTCTCTACTCAAGAGCAACGGTGTCTCTTTGGAGTCTAAGGTGCCCCTGATACAGGCCATGGTCTTTGCAATCACTTGTTATGCATCAGAGAGCTGGACAATGACTAGGGAGAAGGAGAACTGACGCCTTTGAGCTGTGGTGCTGGAGAACAGTATTGAATGTACCATGGACTGCTAAGAAAACAGATTCATCCTAGAGAGGGTTAAACCAGGCTACTCCTTGGAGGCAAGGATTCTCGGGCTTCGTCTGACATACTTTGGACATTGTTGTTGTAAGGAGAGAGAGGTCTTTGGAGAGGGACATTATGCTGAGTAGAGTAGAGGGACGGCGCAGGAGTGGAGACCCTCTATGAGATGGATTGATTCAGTGACTGGGGTAATTGGGATGGGTGTGTCAAAGGCAATGCGATTGGCACAGGATAGAGCAGGGTTTAGGGCTGTTTTAGGGCTGTTGTACATGGGGTCGCTATGAGTCGCAAACGACTCGATGGCACATAACAACAACAGTTAGCAAATGTTATTAACATCAAATCATACCATCTCCCAGCAGGCCTCCCCGGGCTTGGTTTCTGAATCGCCTCCCTGGCGTTAAACCACAGATTGCCTTGTCGACTGGCCTTGCTACTTCAACTTCTTGTGTCACTTCTGCGAATCTCATGACTTGCTAAAATAAAAAACAAATGTAATTTTTCCAAAGTAATCATATCAAAGTCCTTCAGAAATCATTAAATAAAGCAATATGGCATAGTTGTTAGTTCAAGAGTCAAAATATCATTCTTTGTTTTGTTATAGAATAGATCTTTTGATATGTTATAGGACAAAGAAATTTAAATTACCAAGCTTTCTTCATAATCTTCAGCCTTTGGATTCACACACACAATCATGCGTACTTTTCCTTCCCCGTCAAAGTAGTTCTTGAACAAATGGGTTAACTTGGAATCTCGATATGGAACCATCTATAAATTCATTCAAATCCAAATATATTAGGCAAAAATGCACACAGGAAATGATGTAAATGATTAAAGAACACTATTATCTACCTTGTTGGTTCCATACATTTGGTTCTCTCTGAGGACTTCCATGCATGTTCTTAGTGTCATTAGAGACTGATTAATGTTACCTGACAAAAAAACCACACAAACAGAAGATATTTTAAAACAGCAATATAGTAGCTCAAGTATGTTCTGTTTGCCTATATAAGTCAATACCTCAAAAACTATTAAATTGCAGAGACTTTAGTTGCTCATTTAAAATAGATGTCCATACATATTCTTTTTTTTTTGGTCTTTATTGACTTTTAGTTTTTGTACACAAAGAAAAATCATGTTCATATCCATCATGAACAAAAACTTAAACAGGCAGAACTAGAAGACATGTGTCCGTCACCAAAGCAAAGCTGTGCTAAAGGTTCTAAACATTTCAATTCTTAAATATTTTCCTTTTTCCCGGTGTCTACTTTCATGTCTTCATAGCGTCAAAAGGAACTGAAGCCTATCATGAGTTACAATTTTGCTCAGAGTCCCAGCTCACTGTGTTTGGTAACTTGCCATTCCATATCCAGCTTGGTTAGGAGGAGGTATTACAGGGGGAGGAGCTTGTCCTTGGGGAGGCTGAGCACCAAATCCACCCATCCAAGCAGCAGAAGGTGATTGATCTACTCCGAAGCCTGGCTGATTCCATGGCTGTCCATATACTCCATAGGGTGGCACTTGCCAACCATTTGCCATGTACTGTCCATACTGTTGTGGGTTTCCATAAACTTGGCTCCACTGGCCCCACTGGCTATAGTCGACCTGTTGAAAATTTTTAGTCATATCAGGAGATTCTTTACCCCAATAGCATTTAACAACATGCCCTTCAATCGTCATACCATTCACCGACAAGATAGCGTGGGCTGCACTTTCATGGGTAGAAAATCTGACAAATGAATAGCCCTTCTCTGGAAAAACTCTTATTTCCATAATTTGTCCAAATGGTGAGAATGTCTGTCTCATAAGCTGATCTGTTAACCCAGAAGCAATTCCTCCACAGTAGACAGTACAATTTTTTGGACTTGACTGGTTTACTACATCTTCAAATGGCAACTGTTTAGTGTTGTTTTCTTGTGTGCTCTTTGAGGCAGGGGGTTTCCGAGTGGCCCAGTTAGTGCGGATCTGCCGGCCACCCAACCACTGGCCTCCCATGTGCACGACTGCATTCTCTGCATCCAGTTTGTTATAAAAAGATACAAAACCATAGCCTTTGGACTTGCCAGTTGCCATGTCCTTAACTACTCGGGCATCCGATATTTTACCAAAAGGGGCAAATGCTGATTTGATATCTTCTGTTGTTATTTCTGGACTCAGATCCCCAACAAATACATGGAAGTGATTGGAAGTATCTTTTTTCTGGCTACTTGATGTTGTTGCCCAGTTTACTTTGACCTCCTTTCCCAAAATTTTTCTCCCATTCACAGCCCCTAATGCAGCAGCTGCATCCCTGTGTTCATAAAATTCCACAAAGCAATATGGGTCATTGTTTGTATGCTCTGTTATCATTTTACAGCTTTTGCAGGGTCCAATCTGACTAAATAACTGAAGAATGAGGACGTCTGTAACATCTCTGGAGAGGTTTCCTACATATAGAGTCCGGGGTCTCGGCCCAAAGAGCAATTGCCTGACGCTGAAGGCTCTGGGAATTCAGGTCCTGGAAATAAGAGAGGGAAGCCCTTCTCCCGGGGGCTGCTGGGAACTGTATTGCGAAGGCGGTCGGGGCCGGCGCCTGGCTGAGCTGGGCCGCGAAGAGGAGACTTCTGGGTAGTGTAGTCCTACATGGGGACGTGCGGCGACCAGGAAGTCGGCGTGCTGACAGCTGAGGGAGAGAAATGTCCATACATATTCTTGCTCTTTCACTACCAATATTTCAGGAGAAGCCAGTAATTTTTCTAAGATTTTTTCCAGTGTAACCACACTTTATCCAAAATAACGGCATCGAATTCTGGACTTAAAGACCAATAAAGATTTCTTCTAAATTCTAAATTATGTGAAAGAGCATATTGGATATGTTGTTGTTATGTGCCATCGAGTCGTTTCCAACTCATAGCGACCCTATGCACAACAGCTCTAAACCCTGATCCTGCGCCAACCGCACCGCCTCTGACACACCCATCCCGATTACCCCAGTCACCGAATCAATCCATCTCATAGAGGGTCTTCCGCTCCTGCGCCGTCCCTCCACCCTCCCAAGCATGATGTCCCTCTCCAAGGACCCGTCCCTCCTGGCAACATGTCCAAAGTATGTCAGACGA